CACACACACATACACACACACACACACACACGTACACACACACACACACACACACACAGCACTAAAACCAGTTCCACTTGATCTCTTTTTTTTTCTCCTTTTTGAAGGTAGATCTATATGTGAATTCTTTTGGTGGTGTACGGGTGCTTTGTTTGATGTGGTTTGTTCCTTCTTTCCTATCAAACATCTATCGTCCTTATCGCGTCTCTTCCTTCTCTATTTTGTGTGTGTTGCTCTCTTGTGACATCTCTAATCTTTGGCACCTTTATGACCTTAAAGTGTTGCAAGTGCGTGAAATTCTTACTACAACAATTATTTTTTAAAGTTTTTTAGATTGATTGAATTAGTATTCATGAATTTTTTAAGAATATCGGCTCATGGTGAAACTAGCTATTTTCATTTTAACACAGTGTATACTTAAAAATGTGACAGAGTATAGATTTTACAATACATAGATATAGAATCTAGATTTTATTTCGTTAGATGTTCCTGACTGCGTTTTGAATAAGGTGACAAGCCTAGTTAAGCGTGATATTTTTGGCCAACTGAGCTAATTCTGTACAGTGCATAAGAAAAGTGGCTCAAAATTGTTTTCGTAATTCTACTCGAAGTAAAAGTACAACTTGACGTCCTATTCTTCAAATGAATTGAAAGCCTCTGTCGTGCATGATGTTATGGTGATTCAAATGTGTTCCATTCCCGCCTGGGAAATTCTATTTTTTCGAATGTCTTCCCGTCTTTCTGCTGGGATGTTATGTCCAACTCACCATTTGTTGGCCCCGACACGCAGAGTCGAATCAGCCCGCCTCCTTAATGATTCAAAATGAATCGATGTAGACGTAAAATGTTTACAACAATAAAAATAACAAATAAGAACAATATTAAGATGGAAACCCGTGAACTCAGTTTTTGGTGTATAAAAATATCAAAGATATTTATTTACATGGAAATACATGTACTCAGAAAGGAGTAAAAAAAAATGTCAATGCTGTTATTCACAACTAACTCGCTGTAATACTAGAACTGAGTAGGGAGCATTTCGAGAAGTCACACACTGACATGAACTACGCAGTATGTGATTACCTGAAAGCGGAACTGTTAGCGAGCGCAATAATACCCACTGTGAAATACAAGTTCAAAGCTACTTGTAACCAATGCATTGTTGAACTTTCCAACAAGACTCTAGCTACATCTAGATCTAAAATTGGATCACTTAGAATGAGAGCTTTAAAACAATGATGATGATAATAATAATAATAATGTCTTAGATGCTACAGATCCTTCCAATAATATTACTTTGTGCTGGCTGTCAACACACAGACAAGCTTCAATCAAATGATTGATTGGTTCTCTACGTAGAGCGATGATTTCTGTTCAACAATTAGATATTTCGGGGTGAAAAAGAATCATACCTTCTGTAAAAAAAAAGAAAGAAATTTTCGAAGAATTATAAACATAGAGGAACAATAATGTCAGTGAGCTCAGTTGCACAAATGATGTGCCGAGGATGTCATGTACGACTCACAAAGCTAGATGTTCATCTGTGAAATGCTGAAATATTCATATTCACCAGTAAACTGTAGAAATATTCGTCGGTGAACTGTTGATATATTCATGAATTGACTGCAGAGCTGATAAAATATATTCACCAGTAAACTGTTGAAATATTCGTCAGTGAACTTCTGATATATTCATCTGTCAACTGCTATATATTATATATTTACATCAGTGAACTGCTAATATATATATTCTCATCATTGAACTGCTGATATTTTTCCTCAATGAACTGCTGTTCGCAAGATTCTATCCGACAATCGGTTGCTGGGCAGCAGCGGCGGAGGGTATGGCGTAAATGTCACAGCCCGGGGTGTCCCAGTGGAACACATTGAGGTAGCCACAGCGGGCAAAGTGGTTGGGGGAGTGGTAGGGTGGGGTCTTCCCCTCAGGTCCTCCACACGTGGCCTCCAGGTGCGGGTTCCCTTCCCAGTTTCCGTTGACTAGAGCTTTGAACTCGAAGAACCCGTCCACCGTTTTGGAGCAGTCCATGTTTACGTCCACATACCAGTACTGAGGGCCGAATCTGCAGACATTGGCAAATAAGTAAAAGTTTATTTAGTGTTTAACCCTCTTGGCACCATATATAAATAGGTCAGCAGATCAGCACAACAGAACCAAAATGGCGGCCAGTTGGTGGCTTCCCTGGGGGGCTGCCCAGTTTGTCACAGACCCAGTTTGTCAGACTTTCATTTAAGTATTTGAGTATTGATGACAGTCATAATTTTACAGCACTTTAACAGTGTAGTTGTAACTTAAGCTTTTTATTCTCCTCCTTCAAATTGGTGGTGTAGAGATAAACCCTCTAAAACGTCGATTCAGCTTGTGTTTTTCAATATTTCTTCCTTTTTTGTATATAAATCAAAGCTAATTACTTTGTAAAATTTCAACAATGAATGGTCTTTCTTTAAAAACAATTGAAATATGAAATTCAATTCGTACAATCAATCAATTTTTCATTTACTCTTTTTGAGAGTGTCAGTGATAACTACCATCATGCAGGGCACAGTCGAGGCCTGTGACAAACTGGCATGCTTCCCTCCCCAGAACCGAATTATTTCAGTGTTTGCCAAAGGTTCAAGGGGTGTAGCAAAGAAATTGCTTTTGCTTTTGATCTAAGCGACATATTTCATTGAAATTTCACATACAAAGACCAGGGACGTCAGTATCTAAATTTCGAGTGGAATGTTCTTTTTTCAAGCCAGCACTAAAGGCGGGTGTTTCAGGCCGGCAAAAGCCTTTCCATCACGAAAAAGTACAGGTTGAGCACACCTATTTTTATGGATTAACACAATATCATATTTCTGTCACTGGGCAGAGTCAGGAGTGTGTGTGTGTGTGTGTGTGTGTGTGTG